CTCATGGAGCTTTAATAAGAAAAATCCCAGCATAAAGGCTTTGAGGGGTGCAACCCGTGCTGCAGCCCTGTCGGCACATCAAGTGTGGCAACGACAGGTTTCTTCTACCAGGCCATAAAGAAGATCGGCGTTTCGGGAGAAGTGCTTAAAAGTTCTCGGGAGAGGTCGATCCGCCGTTTGAAGGGAGTTCAACATTGGAAGGAGTCCAAGAGTGCGGATGGAGGAATTGCTTTGATTATCAACAAGTTCGAGTCGTGTGCAAGAACGGCGTATAACATAAAGAGGGAGTCTTTAGTGTTTTATTAAGTCCTATTAACGTACACTGTAAATCTGAACTAGTTTGCAAGTCCTCGTGGATGTAGGGTACGTTTGTATTCGAACCACATTAAATTCTTGTGTTTTTTATTTTGCTTTTAGTAGGTTAATTACTGTGACAACACAAGAATTCTGTTACCACGTACACCTAATGTCGTAACAAGTTGTTTGTCTCAACAGAACGAGTGGATTTTCATAGGCATTTAAAATCAACACTTGATTTATAGGTCTTGCACAAAGACTTGAACACAAACCTAATCACGAAACCCTAGCCGCCCCCTCTCTCTCTCGGCCGATCCTCCCCGTGGCCGCCACCGCCGCCAATTCGCCGGAATTGGCCATCTCTTGGCCGATCCTATTGGTATTTCTTTTCTTTGTATATTCTTTCCGTTTATTCCAACTACTGCGTGTCTAGTGCCACGTTTTAGTAGATCGAAGCATACGAGGTGAATCCGAGAGGAAGAAGATCGAAGAATTGAGGAGCTGCCCTACGCCGTCGCCGCCGCCGTTCACGCCGTCGCCGTCACTGCCGTCGCCGCCGCCGCTCCTGAATTGCACGGATTGGTTTCCGTGGCAATCTTGCTTCGACTCGTGCGCCTACCTCACGCTTCAAGAGGTAAAGTTTCGAATCCGTAGTTATTCGATTCATTTTTATTTAAATTAAATATGCATGTACGTTTAGTAAGTATGTTGTATGATTTTATGTATATTATGTGATTACATGAAATTCATTATTTACTGCGAGCATGATTATTTGATTTAATGAGAGCATGCTAGTTGATTTAATTTTCATTAAATAATTCGCATGTATGTTTGTTTTTAAATTTCGCTGGAAGCGCATAGGTACGCAATTAATTGTTTAATATATGTCGGGCATGTGATTATGTGACTTAAACTCGTTTAATTCGCATAAAATTTTTGTTTTCCGCTGCGTACATGTGCCTTATTCCCAACAATATAATCATTAAGTGATTTGGTTGGTGACGAATGCGTTGAGGGTAATTACGAACAATTGTTGTAGAAGGTGAATCAGAGGATGGTGTGCCATCGAAAATAGATGGAGAATTAGTTTAACCAACAAATTGAGAAGGTGAGGAAGGAGATTCGGAAATAGAGGGAGAATTGATTGAATCATCAACTTGAGGGGGTAAGGAAGGAGATGGTGGCGAGTCATCCAAACTCGTAGTTTCACTATGAGGAATAGAATCACCCGAAGGGGGTCGATGAGTGGTGTAGGGTAGTCAAAAGTCCCATTATCATTGATCGGAGTAATTGAAATTGGATCTTGTAAAGATGAATTTGCAAGATCATGATATGGAAAAATTGACTCATGGAATATGACATCGCGTAAAACGTAAATTTGACGAGTTTTGGGGTCATATATAAGATATCCCTTTTGGCCATAAGGATAACCAACAAAGATGCCAGGTTTTGCTCGTTCATCAAATTTATGTTGAATATTTATATTTTTTAGCAAAACATAAACACCCAAAAACTCGAAGAGAGGAATAAGATGGAAGATGTCCAATTAAGACTTGATGAGGAGATTTATATTGAAGGACTGAAGTGTGAAGTTTGTTAATGTGAAATGCAGCGGTTAGAATACATTCACCCCAAAAAGAAAGTGGCAAGTTTGCTTGAAATCGTAAAGCTCGAGCGACATCAAGTAGATGCCGATGTTTACGTTCTACAATGCCATTTTGTTGTGGGGTCGCAACGCAACTACGTTGATGAATGATTCCATTATCATGAAACCATTTTTGAATTTGTTTGGAGAGAAATTCAGAACTATTATCTGAACGTATGGTTTGAAGCTGAGGAAGAAAAATATCCCCATTTCCGGAATTGAAACGAGAGACTTTTGTGTTAAATTGACGACATATTATATTAAAAAAATGGGTTATCATGTTGAAATTTTCGGATTTGTGTTTCATTAGATAAATCCAAGTGCATCTTGAATAATCATCAACAATAGTTAAAAAGAATCGTGATCCATGTTGTGAGGGTATAGATAAGGGACCCCAAATATCAACATGAATCAATTCAAAACTATGAGAAGAACAAGATGTACGTTGAGGAAATGAAAGACGTGCCTGTTTAGCATGTGGACAAACATCACAAATAAAATCCTTATTTAGAATAATATTTTGAGAATTCTTAACAATAAAATCAAAACGAGGCCTAGATGGATGACCAAGGCGAGAATGCCATAGATCAAATTTATTACGTTGCTTAATAGAAAGAGCAGAATTAGAAACCAAATTGCAATCTAGATAGAAAAGACTATTGTGAGGATTACCCCGACCAATCGTCTTCTTCGTTGATTGGTCCTGAAATATACATCCAGATGAAGAAAAAATTATATCACAATTTGTGGATTTCGTAAACTGTGACATGGATAACAAATTGAACTTAAAATATGGAATGTAAAACACATTCGAGAGAATGAAAGTACCAAAACATTTGACAGTGCCTATGTGAGTCACAGGCGCGTGAGAGCCATCAGGCGATTGAACATATATGTTTTTACGAATAGGGGAATATGAAGAAAAAAAAACGAGAGAGATGTACGCATACGATTAGAAGCACCGGAGTCAATAATCCAACAAAATGACGAAAATGTGTGATTTTTACCCGCTAAGTGCACTGAGGGTCCACTGGTCTCTTCTTTGGCAAGAAGTCTGAGAAGCTTGTTGTATTCTTCGTGCGTGAGTGAACTAGCCATAAGAGTGGAGTTGGATGGTGGTGGCAAGGATTTCTTCACATGTTTGTCGGGAAAGCCATGAAGTTGATAGCATGTAGCAAGAGTATGACCATGTTTGTTGCAATGGTCGCAAAATAGACGTTGACGTTTTCCCGATGGACGAAATGGAAGTTTAAATGCTTGAAGTGCAGCGGCATCAACAGTAGGAGTTGTGAGAATATTGATCCCTGCTTTTCTTCTTGACGAACCAAATTGTAGATACGTTGAATGGAAGGAAATGGTTCCATCAAGAGAATCTGGCTGCGAATAGCGGAAAAACGATCATGTAGTCCTTAAAGAAATTCCATGGATCGATCTTGATTTTGTTGGTCAATAATGCTTTTAGCATTACCACAAACGCAAGGAGTGATATGGATAATGCAAGGAACCGAGTTCATCCCATAGAGATTTGAGTTGTGTAAAATACAATGAAACATACATGCTTTCTTGCTTGAGGACAGAAATGGACTGTTTCAATTGACAAATTTTTGGAGCATTTGATTGAGAAAAACGATCCTTCAGATCGGTCCAAATTTATGCTGCAGTTTCAACATACAAGATACTTGGACGGATCTCAAGTGAAACAGAATTAAGGATCCAACTTCCTACCAAATCGTTACAACGTTCCCAATTAGAAATGTCAGATTTCTCTATCGGAATTGGGAGTGACCCATCAACGACACCAAGCTTATTTTTTGGCACGAAGTGCCATTCTGACTGCACGACTCCATGATCCGTAATTATCTCCTGTCAACAAAGGTGTGACAAGGATAGTAGAAGGACTATCGGAATGATGGATTGTGTAAAAATCGGTTATGATGGGTGTGGGTGATGATGAAGAAGACTTTGTAGGAAGAAGATCGTCGGTAGACATTTTGAAGAATGAGGAGAAAAGAATCAAAGATTCACTAATACCATGTAGAAATGATGAAACACATAATGAAGAAGATGAATTGTGTCTTGTATTTCATCAATGAGTGCTTGTACATTTATATACACACAAAAAAGAAACAATAAAAGGAATAAAATAATTACACTTAATCAAATCCCTAATCAAATCACTAATTAAGACTCGATTGAATCTAACCAAATCACCTAATTAAGGCTTAACTAAATCAAAAGTGAATATGAAATATATTACTCTAACATATGTGTTCAGGTTTCTTGTCAAATGACTCCTAGATTCGGTCCAAGTTAGAGGATTCTTATTCCTGTATAAAGGACCTCTAATTGATGAATTAGGGATGAGATGCGATTGAAGAAGACATGAGAGAAACAATAGAGAGAGAATAGAAAAGATGTAGAAAAAAAGAGATACACTAGATCGAAGAAGATAGTGTAAGAGAAATAAATCTTTTGTGCTTTGTAATTCTCGAATACTGTTGGTGTTTGAAATTAACAAAAGCGGTGTTCCCTTTCCTGGTGGATGTAGGCCTTTTCCTTGGCCGAACCACTTTAATCTCTGCATTCTTTATTCTATTTTTTTTATATTCATCATATAAACGTAATTAGAATTTGTATAGTTTTGTGAGTTGATTGTCACAACAGCTGGATGATAATTCTCTAACACAAACTAAGATTTACAATGTTTCAGAAATAAACAAACGCACATAATCTGATGATTGAATATGTGCACTAGAATATATAGATATACCTACATAAAATTGCACACGTAGAAACATACATATACTCACACACAAACACCTACTACACGAACATATATATACATATACGAACACGCGTAGACATATATGAATGTGCGTACAAACCAAGAAGAGTAAGCTTTTAGCGACACTAAAGTGTACTACTATATATACATATCAACAGTCCTAGTAGTCGGCCTCTAAAATCTCACGAACGGGCCGGACAAGCCCTTTATTAGCAATACAGAGTTGGAAAAAAGAAAGACCTAAATTAAAATAAGTTTAATACATGTTTAAAGCTAAACCAACTTAATGAACTCCATAACCCACATCCCATACACATAACAAACAACCTTAAACTCCCCGAAGCCAGCTTTCTTTGCCATGCCTTCAAATTCTTCCTTTGTCCTTTCTTTTCCTTCGAGAAAACATGACATCGTAAGGTTCATTTGAGAAGCGTACTTTGCGTGAATGTCGTCTTGGTGCGTGTTTGGCAGAATATAATCCATAACGATCAACTTTCCGTTGTTTGGCAGTGATTTGTAGCAGTTCTTCAACAGATTTCCGCATTGTTCATCCCCCCAATTGTGCAGTATAAACTTTGCAGTCATTTTCAGTACAAATTAATTAATATATACATATAGCATCAAATTATTATTATTATTATTATTATTATTATTATTATTATTATTATTATTATTATTATTATTATTATTATTATTATTATTATTATTATTATTATTATTATTATTATTATTATTATTATTATTATTATTATTATTATTATTATTATTATTATTATTATTATTATTATTATTATTATTATAATTATTATTATTATTATTATTATTATTATTATTATTATTATTATTATTATTATTATTGTTATTATTATTATTGTTATTATTATTATTATTATTATTATTATTATTATTATTATTATTATTATTATTATTATTATTATTATTATTATTATTATTATTATTATTATTATCTACGTACAAAAATTGGATATTAAAATAAGAATGGTCAAGTAAAGAAAATTGTTGTACGTACGTACCTTCAACAAAATGGCATCTCCATTTGGTACTTCAACAAACATATCTCCACCAATGTGCTCTATGCCTACATAATACAGTTCTTTTAGGCTTCATTTATGAATAAAGGAAAAAAATAAAACTAATTCCAAAATTCAAACAATAGTCAAATTTCAAAAACACCCACTTCATTTATTTTTTGAAATGGCGTTTAAAATAAATGTATACTCATTAAGTAAACAATTAAATAACATTGTCATTATTTGACAAATAACATTGTGGTATCAGAGTCACGCAAAATGAAAGGTCTTGTGTTCGAATTCCACCATCACGCATTTCAAATATTTTAAGTACAAGCCTAGAAACTCTAAAGCGATCAATGATACAATATGGGAAAATAAAATCTCACCGTTGTAGGTCGGCGCGGTTTCTACGACATGGGGCAAATCAAAATTAACGCCGCGAATCGAAGGGTACTTTGAAATGATAGTATCGAGAGATGAACCACTACCACCTCCGACATCCACAAGACAACTCAAACCCTCGAAACCTTTATACGTTTTAACAACTTTTTTGATTATTACAGAAGAGTGGGCTCTCATGCCGTCGTTAAACATCTTAGTAGCTTCCACATTCGAGGTAATGAACTCGTAAAACGATTTCGCGCATATCTTTTCAAATTGATTGCCTCCTTCGATAACTGCATCTTTTAAGCTGCAAAGAAAAAAAAAATACCTCAATAAACTTGATCGAATACGTTTGGTTGATAAATATATGGAATTCAACTTTTCGTTAGGAATTTTTTTAAAATAAAATTATAGGGAGTCCGTTTTTTTCTAATTTTCCACATGTCATTTACAAGTGGGATCCGTTTTTTCTCTAGTAATAGGGAGTCCGTCCCAAATTCGCACCCTGTAATATAATATAATATACTCAATAATAGTCGTTTTATAGAAGTAGTAAGAGTTTCAATAAATGTTTCTTGATTTAAAAAAAAAATACATAAAAAAACTAAAATAACTTTGATCATTTAATGATGTGATAGAGAGAATTAATATTAAAGTTGAATAAATATGGGTAAAACACGAAAAAATGCAACTAGTACATTACTGAAATTCTAAAGTGACAAATAATATGAAATAAGAATATTTCTCTGCGAACGATTGAGTGGAACTGAGCAAATAAGAATAAATCTAAAATGACAAATGACAGTTATTGTAGAATGGAGAGAGTACCTGAACCCTATTTCTCCTCCTTTGCGAACGATTGAGTGGAACTGAGCAAACGAGACGCCACTCTCGTCTTTCACAAAGAACTTGCCCGCCGGAGCAATCCCGTATCGCCGTTCAACAGCGCCGCCACCACCATCAGCAAGTACATTGGTCGAACAAATAAGCAAAGAGTGAGAAGCCAACAGTTGGAGCATCGCGTCGAGCACGGGGGCAGCCCCATCGGCGGCACTCGGCAGCTGAGCGGCGATATCGGAGGCCGACATGCGGGCCCCATCTCCGGCACCGGAAATGATCTCAAAGAGGTCAAGGTCAATGGCGGCAGCCAACGCCATCGGAAAGGTATGAGAAAGACAAGCCGCCAAGGCCAAAACACCTGCTTCATCGTCTTCCCCATGCTTGTACTCATTACCATTGATCACCACCTCCATATTATATATTTATATATATATATATATATATATATATTCTTTTTTTTTTTTGAAAACAGATTGGATTAAGTGATGATCAATTTGAATATTTTTCAGTGAGTTATATATACTATTAGAAATACTCTCTCGAAATCTGGATAAGAATTGATATGAGGAAGTGATGTCTGCTCTCTTTATTGTTTTGCATAACAAATTTTGTCCCTTTTGTATCTATATATATATCATGGCTGCTCTCTTTAATGCTTTCTTTGTCATTTTGATAAACATTAACATATATTGCAAGAAATGTAGCTGGCCGGTTTTAGGGGTGGAACCAGGATAAAAATTTAGGGGCACCTAAAATTTTGGGATTCAGGGCAACGCCCTCAAAAAAAACTTAGGGGCGGAACAAGGATCAAAATGTAGGGGCACCTAAAATTTCGGGATTCAGGGCAACGCCCTCAAAAAAAATTTAGGTTCACAAGACATTGCCAAAAATAAGTTTATATATATATATATATATATATATATATATATATATATATATATATATATATATATATATATATATATACTATTTTAAGCATAAAAAAAATCTAAATTAATTCAAATTATTCTAATAAGGATAGGGATAATTAGTTGAAACCCCTCACTCATTTAGTATAATAAGGATGGATCTACTCCCTTTTATATTATTAGTGGAAAGCCCCTTAATTATTTAATTAAATAGATATTTATGAAATTACTATCCAATATACCTAATTTGCCCATCTATCCCTTATTAGTTTACATCTGTGATCCCTAAATTCTGAAATTATGTTTCACATGTTGTTCCCGATACATAAAACGGGTAGTGATTTAGTAAAATGATCAAATAAATTAGTCGAAATACGAAAAGATTAGCCGAGGCGAGAAAACTCTTTCCTTAAGACAATATTGCCCCGCTACGGTGCTTACGGTTATTTGGCAAGTGTCTCCCAAGATACAACGGCTAACTCGGCATATGAGCACTCAAAATCCCGAGTACAACGAACGTTACTTTGTGTCTCAAACTCTCGAATCGAATACGGAAGAAAATATTCTACGAAGAATATTTCCGGGCTTAAAGAAGGAAGAATTCCATAGAACAAAATTATAGAATTGAATTGATTTTTATGTTGTTATTAAATCAAACATGTGGAGTTTATATTTATAAGTTTCCAATGGTTGTGATTAATGAACACAACCTTTAGGAAATTAAACAAGTGAAGAGGTGTGACCACACCTCTTCATATTGTCACACCTATTTGATCAAATAAGTGCCTAAATATATATTTTTATTTTCATTCAATTTTTTTTTTTATTTTATTGAATAAAATTCCCAACAATCCCCCACATGAATGAAATTAACGAAAAACGATGGATTCTATCGAGAGTTCAAGTGGAAACTATTGCAATGGGGATAGGTAGCTTTTGGCTTTGAACCTTCCTTAGAGGTATAACATCGGATTTACTTGGCTAGTTAGTGAACGCGATGTCTTGAACTGCCAGCCGTTTGTGTAAACCAAGACAATGATAACCACACAATAGTTTTCCCACATTTCATCAGTTCTCATGGTTGCGTCCATTTTGGCCCTGGAGCACATCTTGGACTCATAAGTGTTTGTCATTTTGAAGCGGCCCACACTTCTACACTTAGATAGGTGATGTCCTATTAAAGGTATCCTGCCAATGCCTCACCTTTTGTCAAGATTTTGGAATCATTAAAAGCTTTCGCTTATCCTTTACCCTCTCTGCAGGCAGCACTAATGTCTATCACGGGAATGAGTTGGAAATATATAATTCCATAGGAATATATACTCCTTAGTGCATCACTGAATTTTCCGTAACTTAGTTGTCCCTTTTGAACCAGTTCTTGGGATCTCCAGTCATCATGGTTGGGTGTCCACTATAGAAATTCTTAATTTGTGGGTTTTGATCTCACTCCCCTAGACATGTAATATGTTTGATCTCTTTAGTTGACTTTTAGTCGCGGATCCGCTATTGACCATTGATTTTCATAATCAATGTTATATTATTTCTCTTGAGATCAATTGCCTAATGGTCTTATGTGTACGAGTGTATCGATACTTGCCATTATACATGTCGTTTGTGCCCTTAACGTAACCAATTGGTTATCACAATTTATTTATAATTGTAGACACCGACTTAGTCCAACACGGAACATCCTCCAATAATTTTATGAAGTTTATTCAACATCTTTTCTAACCTTATATCAAGTTATATATTCGAATTCAACCATGAATCGAGCTATTCAATTTTGTTTGAGGATTTCCAAGATACATAATCTTAGTGGACTGATATATCCAATGTACTTTCCTAATACAATTGTATATTTTCTTTAATGTAATTCATTTAAAGGCGATACTTAGATTACCTAAGAACCCTTATAATATCATTGAATGATTATTTATTAAGGAATTACATATTTACTAGTTTGCAATTCATTACGCTGCCAAACTATCCAAAAATATTTGTAATTGAACCATTGTTCATCATTATTTTTTGCAAGTAAGACTTGGTCTTTAAATAACTAGATCAATTTTCTAGTAATGTATCAACATGAGACTTTCAAATGACTATCTTTGTCTTAGTGACTTTAATTTATAAGATTACATCGTCTAGACCCTCGTCTTTTGACATCAAACATAATTTTTTTTCTTTTTTTTTCAATATTTTTTCAACGTTCAAAATAATACCATGATCATTATCTCATGATTATAATGTCGTCTATGGACATATACTTCCATGTGCTTTTAATAAACACACCGGTCACACTCGTTATTACGAGAATTATTTGATAACATAATTTTATCAAATATTATTTTTAACGGATTCCAATATCTTGTTATAAATAATCAAAAATTTCATAGCTACTAATTTAGCTTTATAGGACCATCTTTAACATTATTTTGAATAGTCCATCTAAACCTTAATGGTTTACTACTTGGAAGAAGACAAACTAACTTCCACGTACATTCTTCCAATGTAGACAATATTTCAATAATTGTCCTTCGTTCATTTTATAACTCATAAGTTATAAAATCAAATTAAATCAAACATATTGATTTTATTTTCCATCTTGTTGTATCTTGATTGTTCATCACTTTGATGATTTACCACTCACACATATTTTAACTTGGTTGTTCACTACTTTGATGATTTACCACTCACACATATATTTTAACTTGGTTGTTCATCACTTTGATGATTTACCACTTACACATTTATAAGTTCTCTTATTTAAAACTTATTTATTTTCTTATTTTACAATAAACCACGATATAATCAATTTGCATCAAGAGTGACTACAATCATTATAAATATATTCAATATTTATCCACTTGATTATACTAGGCTTTATATTAACTTAGGTATTTTTATTTTTACCTTGGCCTAAACACCCCCACATTTCTAGATATTAATGTGGTTATGGCCTAAAGACCCCCACATTTCTAAATATTAATGTGGTTAGCTCGGGATATCTAATTTATGTGGTTAGGGCCTAAAGACCCACACATTTCTAAATATTAATGTGATTAACTAGGGATATTTAATTTCCCCCACAAATTCTAGAGTATGTATTCTAGAATTTACCAATTTGATATCCATAAAATTTTTTTTTTCAAGAGTTTCAGTACTCATTTTTAATTCATTTGTTAAAGTTGACATTTCCCTACCTTCATTCACATAGCATTTAAATGCTTTGAAATCCTTATTTTTTTTATATTAATAAGGATACACAATGTAACAAAATACATTTCTTCTTTAGTTAGAAAAATATTTTGGATCACCAATATGATTTAATTACAAATAATTTTATGTCTTTCTCTCAAGAAAGCACAAAACGATGAAACTTATCAAGATACTTAAATCTTGTCAACAAACAAGTTAATAAGTTTTCTTTCTTTCCTCAAAAAGAGAAAACTCGTCAAGATACTTAAATCTTGCCAATAAACAAGAGAATATTAATCTCCCCAAATGGTGGGTGATCTCCACTATTCAATATTAAAATTAGAATATACAAATTCTAATCTTAATTGGTCATAACTTAGGATTGTATGTCCTAAACATGTCGTTCAAAATTCAGCCAAATCCAACGATTTAATTCTACAAAACGAGCTCTTAAGTAAACTGCTCGAATTTTATTTCAACAAAACATCCATTGTTGTTAACAACTATTTCGGATCTTTGAAAATCAAAATCCGATCTCATCCATTCACATTGTAGATCATCATCATGCAAATGTGATATCAAATCATATCGAACCAACGATTCAATCTTCTTTTATGTTCTTGAGACAATAACTACTCATGTGCTCTCATGAATTGAGCTTCTCTTTCTTTCTATTTCATTTCAATCATGCTTTTAATTTTACTGTAGTATGATTCATATATAAAACATATGTACATCAATATTATAATAACATATTATATGACATGTGACCACGACTTTCATACTAGTTGATCATAGAAAGAAACAATAGATCAAGCATATTTTATCAACATATACATAGTATACACACGACTACATAATAACATAAAGTTTGGATATTATTTCATGGCATAAATTAATTCATGTCCAACATAATGAATTGATAAAAATTCTATCGCACGTAATCAATGCATGTCCATGCAATAACACAATTATAAGGAACTAGTATGGCTTACACAAATAATAATATGTATAGTAATATTCCTCTTACTAAGTAACTCATACTTAATATACGAGACAAGTCTAATCGTTCATAGACAATAACAAAAATGTTAATAAGATCACGTACTCACAAATTTCATATAACATATTCGAAAATCAATCAATTGGACGGTTCCACATCAAATGAAAATTGGGAGAAAGTTAATCCCGTATCAAAACTATATGCAATTTATCAAAATAAATATTGCATTTTCATCAGAAATGTCATGCGGTTTATGATAAACTTATTCAAATAATGAACATACACATACCTTATCACTTTATTG